AGTCTAAACCCATCTTGGTGCATTAATAAAAAATGTCGGGAAGACAATTTTACTATAAGACATGCCCTGACCCTAACTTCAAACTAACCCTTACCCTAAATTTAATTAAAAACAAAAAACACGTGACTGGACACGGCTTTAGACGTCCCCCTAATTTAGAGATCGCTTAAAGTCAGATGCCTACGACCAATCAAAAATCACAAATTTCTTGTTTACACGAATTAGTTCGACGAAGCAAAAAAAAAAGTAAAGAGTGAGAGTAATACAAGAAACTAGGGTCTAAATCCATCTTGTGGCATTAATTAAAAATGTCGAGGAGGATGATTTTACATATAGTCATTCTTCTAATATTAACCTATACAGACCCTAATCTACAATATTCGATGTGACAAATAATGCAGATCATTTGATTTATTGTTTGTATATGTGATATAACAGTCACCTGATTTGTCACATGTAAATTTTTGCATATAAACTTTGAAGCTTTGATGTTTTAAAACCTACCTATTAACTTATTAAAATTAAATTTTACGATTAGATAGATCAAGAAAAGCAGAATAACAAAACCTTTTCTTGTTTCTGTATATAAATTAAGAAATTTGAGAACGTAACTTCATCAAAAAACGAATATTTATCGATTTTTGAAAAATTGAATTAATTTTACGTAAAAAAAGTTTTCGAAAAATTGCATTTTGATGAACGTACACATGTAAAATTTTATGCCGAATAAGTTTACTTACAGTTATTTTCAAAAAGGTCCAGGTGTAAACTATATGTCATGGGAAATCCACAAGAATTCCTTGATTTCCTCGATTTCCCTTTGAATTCCCTTATTCACGGCATCAAGGAAATCAAGGAAAATTTGAAAAAAGTATAAGGGGCAAAAATAAGTTGACTTAGCAAAAAAACAGTTGCATATGGCAAAACTTATGTTCCTATCAATTATCTATTTATCCATTTATCCATTAGACATATCTATTTATACATTAGATATCCGTAATCCGTTATCTGAAGTATCCGATTCAAATTATCCGGATATTCTGATTTGTTTATCCGATATGGATTATCCAGATAATTCAGATGCGGATAAATGGATGAGGGATTATCCGGATTGGAATTCTAGAAAAACCAAACATTTTAACATTTGTATATAGCTAGCTTGTTTTTTTACTAAGTAATCT